TTCATAATTCTGTCTCGATATTAATGTTAATATATTATGAATAACTTGATAAACCCCGTGGAATAAAATATGTATCTCTTGAGTATCTGTGATGAGATCACAATCATGAGGATTCAAGAATACCGGATGTTTATTCCTAATTTTATGTTCATAGTCTAGAGATACTGAGAATGAGGTCAGTAATCTCGGGTAAGACTAACACGACTTATCTACTTGTATATGGATACAAGGTATAGACCTCATGTGCTACAGATATGGAGATGTCTTAGCTAAAGTCGTGGGTGGACCTATAAGGGTATAGCTCGCACTGAACAGACCCACAAAGAGACTCTATGAGGAACTTTCACAGAGAGTATCATTAGAGTAGTCTCTTTATATTTGTGTATGTTTTTTCTTAGACCAGAAGTTATTACCTAGACTGTGTTCTAGAAGGCATGCTTTGTTTGTGCACCTCGTCTGCCTGAAACATGGAGACTCATAGGTATACTGTTGGGCTTGTCCTGAAAGAACACATGGCTAGGGTGATAAGCTGAAGGAATTCGTCAAATCTCTGTGAGAGATTAGGTTATCTGTAAACCAGAGAAATCGGGATGACATTTACAGGGACTCGGGAATCTATGCATAGTAAAAGAGATCATGAGATGATCTGCCTTTAGAGTCTATAAATTGAAGATTCCCTATTTCGAATAAAGCTTACCCTAAACCGCAGGGGTTGATACGCTTCCTTACCCTAGGTTTTATGGGAAGGTAACCGAGACGAAAGGAAATATATACGGCAACCAAATATGTGCAATAGGAGTCACTAATCTAACTAGTTCTGGGGCAACAAAGCATTGCTAGTGCTCTATGTTGTCATTAGATGGGTTGTGGGCTTATTGGGCCCAAGCCCATTTATGTCAGTGGCTATGTTGGACCTAATGGGTCACACACTAACACCTAATTGTCTAGATGCTCTAGCATTAATGGTATTGGGCCTAACAATTGTTATTAGCCCAAGAAGTAGTTTGGAACTCCACAGATAGGATGGAGGGCGCATGGATCTAAGTAATGGGCTTGGATAGTCCAAGACATTACTAATTAATTTAATTAGTTAAATTAATTTTTAAATTTTGAATTTTGAATTTTGAATTTGAAATTTGAATTTGAATTTTGAAATTCGAATTTTGAATTTTGAATTTGAAATTTGAATTTTGAAATTTGAATTTTGAATTTGAATTTTGAAATTCGAAATTTGAATTTTGAATTTTGAAATTTGAAATTTGAATTTAGAATTTGAATTTGAATTTAAAATTTAAGTGTTTGAAAGTTTGAATTCAAATGTTTGAAATTCGAATTTGAATTGGCTATGAAAAGTTGTTTCATAACAAAAGGATAAGATGAGATCTTGTTGGAACATATCAAGAGGAAATCTTTTGGACATAATCTAAGAAGATTTGGGGTGCTGATTTGGCTGTTGGTTAGTCATCAGAATCAGCTCCAGAAGATACGATCTGTTGGGAGAATATTTGAGTGATTTGATTCAAGTTTGAATGCAACTACTCAAATGTATCTGGTCATTATTTAGGCTATATGGGGCGCACCATATAACTGATTATATGATGATTTAGGATCAGATATTTGATTAGGTTTTGAACTTAATATATCATAAAGATATGATAGGATGTTGTTGGCAAGAATTGATGAGATTTGATTTGCAACAAAATTCTATTCTCTCTCTCTTTGATGGAGCACCCTTTTGGAAGGATTTTTTATTGATTAAAAATCTGATTTGTTTTTAACAAATAAGCTCCTCTTGTGCGCCTCTATATATATATATATGTTCCTTCTAGGCTTTTTAGAAAACTAACCAAGTCATTCTCTTCTCCTCTCCTGCGCCACTTTTGTGAAGTTTTCACATTGAAAGCTTCACTCTTTCAAACACTTTTACCTAGCCTTTCTCTTCACACAGTGTGCGCTTAGCAAGCCTTATTGTAGTGATCACTTGGCGGTTTCACAAGAAGGAGTTCTTGCACCTAGACGCAGTGGGTGGTGTGGATCAACGTTAGAGGGTCTGAACCCTTCAGACCTACCTTGATCATCACGAGTTTTCACGAACAAGGTAACATCATGCTTTCCTAAAGCATGATCTTGAATGCATGTGTGTTCCACAATGAAAAGTTTTGTTTTTCCCTCCAGCATGCATCGACTTTCAAGGCCATTTCAATCTTTCACATATGTTCTTCAGGGTATTTCTCTAGAAAGATAAATCTCACTAACCTGATAAGTCCCATCAACAAATGAATCGTTACTCTCAGAGGACACCAGAATTTTTTTTTGTTCTTTAGACAACTCAATCTGAATTGAATTCTATATATACATATAAAAATTGACATGTCAAAATACTATCAACAATTTTTTATATAGAAATTGTTGAACTAGAATTGACGAACAACCAATATCAATAATAGTGTTTATTAGTGCCAAATAAAAAATGGTCGGCTTTTTGACTCTTTTTCCCCTTATTAATTAATTAATAACCATTTTGCCCCTTACTCAGAATTATCTACCAATCTAGCCCTCTTTAATCGATTAACTTGAAGATTTAATCGATTAAATGGTCAAAACTGGAAAAAATGGTTGACTTGAAGATTTAATCGATTAAATCTTCAAGTTAATCGGTTAAATCTCCCTGTAAATTGATTTAATCGATTAAAACTTATATTTAATCGATTAAATATCCCAAATGAGCGTGAAATCATTGATACCAACTCGTAAAATGGCAACTCTTAATAAAACACAATCAGCTCTTATTAAATATAAAATACAATCAACTCCTATTATTAAATACAAAACGCAATCAGCTCCTATTAAACTCAAGATTCGCAATCAACTTCTTTTAAATACAAAACGCAACCATATCCTTTTAAATACAAAACGCAATCAGCTCCTATTAAATTAAATTCAAAATTCAAAATTCAAATAACATCTAATACACATGAAACTGATTGAAGATTCTGCTAAGTATTACATTAAATTCAAGATTCGCAATCAACTCCTTTTGTTTATGGAGAAGATTTGACCTTTGTTGCCTGTTGCGATTTGATAGGAGCTGCGCAATCAGCTCCTATCAAATCGCAACAGGCAACAAAGGTCAAATCTTCTCCATAAACAAAAGGAGTTGATTGCGAATCTTGAATTTAATGTAATACTTAGCAGAATCTTCAATCAGTTTTCTGTGTATTAGATGTTATTTGAATTTTGAATTTTGAATTTAATTTAATAGGAGCTGATTGCGTTTTGTATTTAAAAGGATATGGTTGCGTTTTGTATTTAAAAGAAGTTGATTGCGAATCTTGAGTTTAATAGGAGCTGATTGCGTTTTGTATTTAATAATAGGAGTTGATTGTGTTTTATATTTAATAAGAGCTGATTGCGTTTTATTAAGAGTTGCCATTTTACGAGTTGGTATCAATGATTTCACGCTCATTTGGGATATTTAATCGATTAAATATAAGTTTTAATCGATTAAATCATAATCGATTAAATCAATTAAGAAGGAGATTTAATCGATTAACTTAAAGATTTAATCGATTAAATCTTCAAGTCAACCATTTTTTTTTCAGTTTTGACCATTTAATCGATTAAATCTTTAAGTTAATCGATTAAAAATGGGCAGATTGGTAGATAGTTCTGAATAAGAGGCAAAATAATTATTAATTAATTAATAAGGGGCATAAGAGTCAAATAGCCTAACTCAATCTCTTTTTGTTTAGAGTAAACACCCTTTTTGGTCCCTGGCAATATCTACGAAATCCTTTTTAGTCCCTGGCAATAAAAAAGGATCAAATTGGTCCCTAAAATTATGAAAAAAGGGCCACGTTAGTCCTTATGTCAACTCCTCCGTCACTAACGTGGCCTTTTTTTCATACTTTTAGGGACCAATTTGGTCTTTTTTTATTATAAGGGACTAAAAAGAATTTCGTAGATATTGCTAGGAAACAAAAAAAGGTGTTTACTCTTTTGTTTATTTTTTGGCATTTATTTCTGTTTATCATCATGATGGTTCAGAGTTTGCCTAATATAGCCGTTACAGAAGTCAATCGCATCTGGCTTTCAGTCAATACTATGATTACTGCAAATTTAGTTATGATTGAAACTGTGTACCAAAACAATTTATAATTGAACCAGTCATCAAGAGTTCCTGTGACAGAGATATTTGACCAAATGTTATAAAGGCATCAGCATTATCTTCGACAAGAAATATATATTATTTTACACAATTTCATACAAGGAAATCCATCCATTCGAATGCAGATCAATCAGAACATAGGGTGAATTATTTTGTTTCTTGGATTTATTTTTCCATTTGATTTTCGCAAATGATAAGTGTGCACGTTTAAGTTGTACATAAAAAAAATTGATTTTTGCAAATGATAAGTGTGCACGTTTAAGTTGTACATAAAAAAAATTGGTGACTTCTGCATTGGTAAAAGCAAATCTATTTTTGACATAAAATTTTCCATTAAATGGGTTAAAAAAGGCCAATTTTTTTGTGTGCTAAAATTAGGGTAGGTTATATTTACAAATTTTTAATTTACAAATTATTATAAACTATACTATGTATTCTCGGAAATGTATTTCTAACTGAGTTTATTTCCAGAAATACACAATTGAACTTATAAACAAAAAAATTTATAAATATAATATTTTCTGGTATAATATATTCCCTTTAAACATGGAACCCCCCATTCAAGATTAACAGAGAGCACCCTCAAAGAGGGAAACACATCGTGTTGTTACAGAATGAAACTAGAAAACGATATGACCAAAAACAAAGTAAATTTCAGTATATACAAAACTTCTATGTCTTGAATACATCGTGGTACCATGAAGTTCAATGGATTATCTTGAACCCCAAGTCAGTGAACTGTGAATTTCCCTATTTGTCATATTACAAATAGGAAAGTTACAACAAAGTGTCAAAAATAACTAAAGAATCAAATGAATAAAATTCAGCAGCTTCAGTCAATTTTTATCTCACACAAATTATGGCTGGAATTGAACTCTTCCTCAGTATCTGAAACTATCTCATCAAGACTCAATGGCAGACTATATGAGAATGTAAGGCTTGGTTTCACTTTAGGCACTACAAGAGGTTGCACAGCTTCATTGTTAAGAATCTGTAGGACTCTTCTCATGGAAGGTCTTTGATCACTATCTGGGTTTGCACAACTCAATCCCAAGAGCAATAGCTTCCTCATTTCCTCTTCTTGAAACTCCCCATTCAACCTTTTATCAGCTGCTTCAATTATCTTCCCTTGAGAGTGCAATCCCCAAACCCAATCAACCAAATTCACCATCTCTTGACCCTCTCTTTCAATTGGCCTTCTCCCACAAGCCACTTCAAGCACAACCACTCCATAGCTGAAAACATCAGTTTTATCATTTGCTTTCCCATATTGAAGATACTCAGGAGCAAGGTACCCCATTGTTCCAGCAGTTAATGTTGAAACTGGGCTCTTATCATGATCCATTAACTTTGCCAATCCAAAATCCCCCAACCTGGGGTTGAAGTTCCCATCTAGCAATATGTTCCCAGTCTTGATGTCTCTATGAATCACTCTTTTATCACATTCTTGGTGTAGGTAACTCAGAACAGAAGCTAACCCAATAGCAATGTTGAGTCTATGAAACCAACTCAACAAAAAATTGCTACATTCAGATTCTTGGTAAAGTATCTTATCCAAGCTCCCATTGGGCATAAACTCGTACACAAGAAGCAATTCACCCTTCTCAACACACCAACCTTGAAGCTGAACCAAATTCTTGTGCCTCAAACCAGCTATAATAGACAACTCAGAGAGGAATTCTGTTTTCCCCTCATGGGAATGCCTTGATCTTTTCACTGCAGCAATGGTTCCTGAAGAAACAAACAAGGCCTTATACACTGTCCCAAAAGATCCATTCCCAATGATCCTTGAAACATGAAAACCTCTAGTGGCCAATTTCAACTCCTTGTAATCAAACTCCTTAGGACACCCGACAAACCCAGTTCTGAAACTCTTCTTCTGCTTCCTCACACCATTCCATTTCCGAAAAGAAACATACCCCAAAACCAAAAGCACCACACAGAAAAAAGCTGGACCAGCAATGGCAACACCAACACCAATCACAAATCTCTTACGGTTCTTTGTTGAGTTCTTGGAAGCAGGAACATCCTTAACTGCTACACTCACAGTGCTACCACTACCAGAAACATTATGATGATTAACCAAGCTTGGTTTTTGAGGAACAAGAAACTCAAATAACTCAAAGCTCCAATTCACAATTTCATAAAGCTCAGTGCTTCCTTCAGTGGAACCAGAAAACCCCACATAAAGAATCTCCTTAAAGTACTCAGAAAGATCAACATCAACGCTCAAAACCGGTTTTTCAGGCTTGGAAGAATTACTCGAACCGGAATAGGTTAAGAAAGCACTGAGCTTTTTCTTATCAGAATTGTAATCAATCCAAGAAGTGATTAACTTCCCACTCTTGAGATCAATCCCCTGAAGGGTTAAATCATCGGTTCGAACCGGGTCCAAGGTGTTTAAGTCCAAACCAACGTGGTTGAACCGGGTGTCGAACTCGACCGCGACGAACCGGTTCGGTTCGGAGGAGTTGGGGAGTGAACCGGGGATGCCGAGGAGGCGGTTGAATGGGGAGAGGAAGAAGGCGAAGCCGTTACCGGAGGAACCGGTGGTGTTGGTGATGGAGAAGGAGAAGGTTGTGGTGAAGGTGGTGGTGTTGATGGGGTTGTTGTAGATGAATGAACCGGCGCTGGAAGCGGGAACGGTGGTGGAGCGGGTGAGGCCTACGACGCCGTTTCGGAGGAAGGAGTCGCCGAGGAGTGTGATGTTGCGGAGGGTGAAGGATGAGAAGTTGAAGGTTGTGTTCTGTGAGAGCGTGCTCGGGAGCATGAATAAGAAAAAGAAGATAACGGTGACGGTGACGGTGACGGTGTTGGTGGTGGTTATAAAAGGCATGGCTGTTGATGGTGGTTGCGAGGGACAGCTTCGTAGATTTCGAGTTGTCCAATAATTGAAACTGAAGTGAAAGTTGAATGAAAAAGAGAGAGAGAAAGAGAGCACGTTTTAAATAAAGGGAGTGGTGGCAACTGGGATTACAACGGACATCAGAAATATAATACTGGTTAAGTTCTCTTTTAAAATTATTTACTAATTTAATGTGAAAAAAAATTCATGAAAAGTTTGTGGTGTGTTAAGTAACGCATCATTCATGTATGATTTTTGTAAAATCAGTTCGTGCTTACCATGTGTTGTGCTCTCTGCACTACACAGTACACACACTAACCTATGTGCATTTTAAGTCACACATATCCTTTATGTGCATGAGTGCATCTTACAGCAACATATAGCATACGCGGGCTGAGTTACAATGCGCAGGTTGAAGCCACATAATTTGTATATATGTATTTTTTGCATTAGAATGGTAAATTTTTTTAACTTTTGAATCAATAATTGAAAATGTTTTCCCTTATTAAATAAGTTAAAAAGGCCAGGATATAGTGGAAATTGGAAACCTTAAATAACATGAAAAATAAAAATTAATTGTATTTATGCGTCAAAATGGATTTTTTTTTTTTTAGATATGAATCAGTTTAGTTGCAGCTCAATACAACATTGGAGAATCAAGAAAGATCACGGAAGAAAAATATTCTCCCGTTTTTCTGAAGGCCTTGAGGGATTCAAACTCTATAATAATGGAAAATCATTGAAGAAAGATAAAAATCTTTGAGATATGAAACCATTGAAGACTTCTTAACAGTGACTAATTGGATAATGCAATTGGGACCCATGTGACTGAGTCTTGTTTCAGACCCACCATGCCAACAAAGTACGATTCAAAAGAAAAAGTATTATTACAAGCAGCTCTATGGTTCATATAGCCGTTGAAGATGTTCTTAAACCATATCTTCCTATCAAATTTTATTTGCTGACCTTGTAGTTTAAACAGGAAATATACGTGTGTTTCATTTTTATTTTTATTTTATATCTAGTATATGAATGAAATAGGCATAGAATATAAATTTTATTAAATTAACTGTTGAAATAAATAAGAAAGCGAAAAAGAAAAAAAGAATGCAGCAATACGTTTCTTACTTATGTCGTATAGATAGATCTTTAAATTAATATTTACATCAATCAAAATTATATATTAGATTGATATGGAATTGAAATTCAAATGTTTACAGAAAAAAGTTTATTTGATATGGAATTGAAATTCAAATGTATGAATCTACCATTTTATGGTATGGTTGGTTTAGATTTTAGTTTACTTGATTTAAAAAAAAATTATGAAATTAAGAATTGATGATAAAATATTTAATTTATACTTAGGCGTATATTTTAGATTTTACAGTAAAATTTATTTTATTCACCACGAAAGTTTAAAATGTTTATTTATTTCAAAAATTAATTATACTTCATCACGGCTTCTCTTTTTTTTTTTTTAATCTTAATCACCGACACTTTGTGCAGTCTAACATTTTTTTTTAAAGAATCTTCTCGTAACTCTCGAAATCGACGTTACATAAAACCAAACAAGCTCCAATGTTAATTATGGTACATATTTAATTGGCGAAGCATATAATAAAAGGAAAGAAATAATGTCACACAGTAAAATTTTTTTAATAAAATTCAGTTAGAATTTAACATTTGAAACTAACTCACAATATAAATAAGTTAAAGTGATAAGAATTAATTGATTAATCGATAATGAATCAATGAATAATATCTAAAAAATAATCAATATTTAAATTGGACTATTAGAATCGGATTATTATAATAATTGAATTATTAACTTTGCCGCCCATGTGATTCTACTGATTCAAATTGGAATATTAGAATAACTGATAATGAATCGATGAATAATATTTGAAAAGAAATAATATGATTTTAAAAATGGAAAATCTATGTTGAAACACATTTAAATTGTTGGCGAATAATTATTTTAAGGGTGTTGTTTTTCTCCCGTTGTATCAAAAGATAACATCCTTCCTGCACTCATCAAACGCTGAGCTTCTTTGTTCTTTGTTCTTTGTTCTTTTTCTTTTTTTGTTTGAGCTTGTGCATCTCAGACAATTATGTTTGTGTAGGAATCAAATGCTGAGCTGTTTTTCTTTCTTTTTTCTTTCTTTAACTTGTGGATCTCACATGACTATGATTGTGTGGGAATGAGATTTATTTTTCATGCAACATAAAAAACAAATACCCCTTATTTTAAATAACCAATATGAGCTAAAATCACCTTATTAATATTTTGTTCACGTACGATAATTGTACAATTTAAGTTTAAATTAATTTCCTTTATTTATAAGTAATTTATAATTTCACAATAACCTCTTTCAGATTGAAAGTTTATTATGATCGTTAAATAGGAAAAGTTCCTCCTCAATTTAATTACTTTAATAAAATAATTAGGTTTAAATATATTATATTTAAAAAGCAAGTTTAGAAAAAGTATGTTTGAAATTGAGATTGTAAATGCTCAAACAAAAACTCGTGTACATTGAAGCCTTTTTCAACATGTAAATAAAATTATTTCGGAACAATAAAATATTAATAAAAATTATTGTAGTGTGTAAATGTACAATAAAATATTCAAAAGCATTTTTGTTAACCCGAGGGAGTAATTAATAATAACAAAGGAGACGTGTTACCAAAAAAATAAAATAACACAGGAAAAGTGCTTTTTACCTTTCAGTACTCAAGTTTAAGCTTTATAAAAACATAAAGAAATTACTCACTTAAACGCACTAGACTAATTAATGTGGGGTGCATCTTTAAATGTGTTATCCTTTATTTTCACATTTTTACTCCTAGTAATGAATTATAACAATAACAGAAGATCCTCTTTGAACAAAATTATATCTGATACTCGATGGAATGAACAACCCTTAACAATTTAGTTTTCTCAATAATTGAAGAATGAGAATCCACCTACTGCTGTTGATGTTTAGTCTATAACACAAAAAATAAAAATAACAACGCATGAAAAAAGAGCATTATAATAAATTTTGATTCATTTTTTCCATGGACATAACAAAGTTTTAGATTAAAGGCATTCACTATGAAACAATTAACAACAACACAACAGATAAGGCCTTTGCCCTTTTGATAACCCAACAACAACAACAATAACAACACAACAGATATCCTAATGACACAACGACATATATGAGTCGTATCAATAGATATACATAAAACGAAAGCTAAACATAAATTCACTAAAAAAAAAGTCCTTATGATCTAATTATTACTTATTGCATATCATAACTCATTGCCTTAACTGCAACTGAACTTGTCCCATTATCATCTTTCCCACCTCACATGTGGTCATAATTGAACTGAGCGGAAGGATCAAAGTTGTTCATAGCACTGTTTGAGCCACCAACACCCAATTCATGTCCAAAGAAATCATCCAAGTCTATTGGACCAAACATTCCCAAATTTGTGTTTGGGTCCATAAAGAAGTCTGACCCAAAAGAAGCCACAGGAGTTGGTGGTGGTGGTAAAGTTGGCCCAACAGTTGGCATAACAAGCCCAGGAACTGGCCCATTGTTATCAGAAATGGAATTCACAAAATTTGGATGAAACAACCCAGTAGTGGGAACAGCAGGTCCAGTTCCAGGCCCATTGTTATCAGGATTGGAGTTCACAAAATATGGTTGAATCATTCCAGTAGTGGGCACAACAGGCCCATCGTCATCAAGAAAGGACATAAAATTTGGTTGAAGCATTCCAGCAGTGGGCACAACAGGCCCAGACCCAGGCCCATTGTTATCAGGAATGGAGTTCTCAAAATATGGTTGAAGCATCCCAGTAGTGGGCACAACAGGCCCATTTTCATTAGGAATGGACATAAAATTTGGTTGAAGCATTCCAGCAGTGGGCACAACAGGCCCAGCACCAAGCCCATTGTTATCAGGAATGCACACAAAATTTGGTCGAAACATTCCAGCAGTGGGCATAACAGGCCCAGCACCAAGCCAATTGTTATCAGGAGTGGGCTTCGGTTGAAGCATCTCAACAGTGGGCACAAAAAGGCCAGACCCAGGCTCATTGTTCTCAACAGGGCCAGGACTAGGCCCATTAGTATCAGGTATGGGCTTCACATGGTGTGTGGAGATTGGTTCACCTTCATTTTGACGATAACGCTGGATGAAAGCATTGAGAGGCCTAATATAATCATCAAAGTGTAGCTCTTGCATGGCCCACATCAGGTCCTCTGTTGTCATAATCTTTCTGTAGTCTTTTTGACATCGCTCCTTGGCTTTGGTAGTTATTACAGTTATGTACCTAGTAAGACATTGTTGCACCGTCTCCTTGGAACTCTCTGAGATTTTTGCATAAGATGGAAGAGCCCGTCGCATGATTTTTGTCACACTTGTAATTGGAATGTTATTTTTGTCTCTAACAGCCAAATGGGGAACAACACCATCGTTATTCGAGTTAATTGGTATAGTATTCCCTTCGTTTGCAGAGGAATTCATTTGTGAACCTGAATGAAACAATAAAAGACTTACAATATTCAATATTAAATTTAATGTGAGAGAAGCCAGGCCAAACATATATAACATAAAAGGAGGAGGATTATCAATTAAATAAACTATGAAAATTTAATTCATTTTATGGGGACCACCAAATCTATATATGAGTAAGCACATTAACACACCATGACATATCCTTTGACTCTACCTTTCGGTAAGAAATGACAATTTTGTATCGAACTAGGTGGCAAAAAAAAAAAAACAAGCTTTTTGTGTGGCTAATGTGAAATGTAACGGAAACTTCAAAACTTACCTTGTAAGTTTTGGAAATATTCATAACATTTTGCCTTTAATGTTAGAGCAAGATTTGTTCATGCCAATAGCTAATGTAACAGAAGGATAATAGATAGAATGAACGAAAGAGAACAAAGAAATTTATGCATGTAATATAAAAAGTTATATTTAAAGAGATAT